TAATGATTATACTAATTATATTTTAGATTTAAAATGAGATGTTTATCCTGTATTTGATTGTGTTTATCTGCAATTAGTTACACGAATTCATATATGAGATGAAATCGGATAAGGATGAATGAGTTTAAGAGTTTTTAAGAGTTTTAAGAGTTTTTAAGAGTTTTAGCCAAATGCTTTATAATATAGTATAGATAAGGTCTTAACTTTAACGTACATCCTCTTTCATGTTAGAATCATGTCAAATCATTCGTTAACAATGTAAAAAAAAATCTTAATATTAATATGGGTAAGGAGAAATTAGTATCTAGAGACATATTTAGCAATATATAGGAAACTATATCCATAATCAGTACCAATATGATAACACGTTGAAAAACATACTAATAAGAGCATCTCCAACAAGTATGTATATTTTTTGTCACTTTTATTTTAAAAAAGTTTAACATAACTATTGGAACAAATTTTTTTTTTCCAAATCTATAAAATAACATAGATGTTGAAGATGCTCTAAAAAAAAGGGAACAAATAATTGAAATAAATAAATGGTAACAATGAAAACCCAAACCCCAGTTAATTGGTTACAAAATGATGAGATGCTTAGTTGTATTATTAGATTGTATTCTTTTCTTGATGGGAAAGTACCTTGATGACACCAATTTGTTCAACATTTTCATGGATGCTACTTTGTTATTGTGTTCACTCAAAATCAATTATTACAAAATTTCTTAATATTTATTTTGATTAATTAGCAGATGTACAAATTATTTTTATGTTTATCTTTAAAACTAAAAACGGGCTAAATCCATAAGATGAGTTTGGTACACTGGACAAGACAAGATAAGACATGGATCACGGTTTCATGTTTGTCAGGACTTTTATATGGAAAAGACATGAATAAAGTGGAACAGATGTTTTCTACCCTCACGCAAGGGAAAAAGGTGAAACAAACTATATTTTACTAATATAACCTCAAAATAAAACTTAATTCTCGTCTAAAAGATCAAACGAACATCCCTCTTTACATTTTATTCATTTCTTTAGATTTTATTGATTGTAATTTATCATTTTTAAACTTTCACTTTACTATCCTCAAATATTATTTTCTTACGGTTTCTATATTTTGATTAATTTATGTAATTTATTAAATATTAATAATAAGGGTAATATAGAAAAGGGTATAAAATAAAAATTAAAAACTATATAACCTTTATATTTTGGTGTCGTTTTAATAAAACTTTACGATAATTTATTTTGTTATAAAAAAATATTTTATAATAAATTTATAACTTAATATTACATAAACTAATCAAATGGTATTATCAAAGCCCTTCTAAAACAATTGAGCCCATATGAGCATAATTGCCTCTTTGTAAATTGTAACATATAGAACCCAACTAACGACTAAACATGGACTTCATTTCTATCTCAAGAAAGGGACTTTATACAACACTGTTTGATCTAATGAGCCAAAAGTGAAATCCCACTTATAATTTCACGTACTTTTCTCAAGAAATCTGCTAAGGATTAATCTAAGCCATTGAAATTTGTTGACCATCTTACACCAGAGGCCTCTTTTCTTCAAGATCTGCACTCTTTTGTTCTTTAAGGTGCCATTTCACTTGTTTCCCAGTGTCTGACCATTGAGTGGTTCCTGGAACCTTATGGTTCGGCAACATCTTCAAGATCACACCCATGGCTATCAGTATTAGCCCTGACCCATGTTGGTCGGTCAATGGTTTTGTAAATATCATATAAGATAACAATAAAGTTACCGCCTTTCTTGCGGTTGTTACCTGCACATATATTAAAGAGTAGTTCAAAATCGAATCATTATAATGTCGTCATTTTTGCTATGAGAAATTGACAATGAAGTTATAATCACCATGGCAGTGGTAGCAGCACCGAAAAGAGCAACGAGTGATAAAACAGATACTTGACCGATAAATGTGGCCACAGATTCAAACACCAAGACCCCATATATGTAAGGATGCTGCAAGTTTAACGACATCAATATCAAAAAAGATTGATGGGATTACAAAAAAGGAGTTTTGAATGGATTAAAACATGCATTTGAGCATTTCTACTAAGGATCTAACATTTTTTTTCAGCAAAAGGGAGGACTTTGCTACTTACTTCATAGCATGAATGCCATGCTTTAAACAATTCGCCTGTTATGATCATTGGCGGAACTAGAAAAGGCAATCCAACAACCGTTGAGCAGAATAGCATTTCCATCTGAAATATACGAAACAGAATTAAGTGATCAAAGCCCATAAACAAACTGAAAATAGTATGGACTTTTCACATCCATAAGAACAACTTTTGGCAAATGAATTGTGAGGATATGTGGAACCCCTAAATTACTCTTCAAAAAAGCCCCTTAAGGAGATAAAGATGTTCCATCATATATAGAGGATGAATGGTCCAAATCTAGCCGAAGTGGGACTCTAACATGGCCCCTCCAACTGAGACTAGACAGGTACAAATTATCCCAAAGTGTTGAGAGGGGGCTTGACGGGTACGGATTTCCCCTAGAATGGTGGAACTTGGCTCTGATACCATTTGACAATAAGTGGAACTTCCTTATCACTCTCCAAAAAAGCCCTTAAAGAGAGAAGGTTGTTTCATCATATATAGGGGATAATTGGTCCAAGTCTAGCTCATGTTTGACTCTAACATGCATATCTCATATACTGAAAAACTTAGTATTTTTCAAATTCAAATATGACTGAAGGTTTTTTTTTTGAAGGTTTTTTTTATCTATTTTTTCCCTTCTTCTAATTTTATTCCCTTTATATAGTTAAAATGAGTTCCCAAAATTTTCAACCAAAAGAACAAATTCCAGTGAATTTTGAGGTCTAAAACAAACTCCTGTAACACTCAAAAGTCCAACTGACAGTGATTTACCTGTGTAGTATATGGATTAATGGTAAAGATTGCTTCTTGCAAATTACCCAGAAATGAATCCATGATTAAAGATCCGCAAACCATCACAACACCGATAAGGCTAAAATTTGGAGAAGAGTTGGCATCAGCCAAAGTGAAGAGTATCAAGCCAACAACTAAAAGAACAGCAGAAACATATTCATGTAGTGGGTACTTCCTTTTCAATCCAGGAATGAAGGCACCCATTATCATAATAGGTAACACCTGTAATTATTAAAAAAGAACTTCTTTAAAAGATCAAAATAAACTTGCCCACAAAGAATACCCAAAGATATTTTTCATTCAAATAATCCATTGATGTATTCCTTTCAAAAAAGACACAAGTTGTGAGCAACTACCTTTGTTGATTTGAACATGAGTTGTGCAGGATAATTGAGAAAAGCCAAAGACCCTTTGGTCAATCCTTGAGAACCCATAAGAACAGCAGAGATTTTAACATATAATTTCCAGGGGTTCACCATTTGTTTAGGAGTGAAACCTTGAAAGTATATGAGTATCAAGTAGACAAAGCTTTGAAAGAATGTGAAATACCATCCATAGCTGAAATTTTGGGATCAATGATTAGAACTCATATACATCAATAATTTCAAATAAGATATAGCATCATACCTGAATTGAAGCCTATTATATACATATTCCTGCAAAAGAAAAAGAAAACATGGTCTTTTAGTTAATATACTATTATGTATTCCATACAAAATCGAAGAAACGAAATTGAGACCCATATTATGTGATGATTGAATCGAAGATGTAGTCTTAATGCAAATTCAAGAAACCCATCTATTCAGAATTCCCATAATTCATAAACTTTATGTATCTAGCTTGTTAGCTAAGTGCACTTACATATAGTGAAAATAATGAAGATTAACATCAATCCCACAAGAACAAGATACACAAAGAACATGTTGAAAGCAAAAAGATTTAAGGAAATTAACAAGCAATGAAGACACATATTCCTAAACATGGAACATTAATGGAAGCATATATCAATACTCTCCATGTGTATGACTCAAAATTAAGAAAACCAACCTCACAAATGCCGTTAACAAGGTAGCCAAAGAAGAAGCCAGAAGAGCAAATGAAAAATTGTTGCCATTTGGGTCTATCTGTAAGAGAAATCCCAAACAAAAATCTTGATTGCCCTTCTCCCTTCATCTATGAGACAATTTATCAAACAGTTAAACTGCAAGATAAAGATCACAAACGGAGAACCAATCTCAACTTCCCATTTTACGTTTAATCTTTGAAAAAGGATCTTAGTTCTCTCGGTTGCTATTATGTTAACTCATAACTGGTAGGGGAAGGGTGATGGGTTGAAATAAGGAATAAGGAAGAAGGAAGAGGAAGAGTTTGGCGAGCGGTAGTTTTGGACGCATCAGTGTGTGTATTAAAGGAGGAAAAACATGAACAGAATTTTACGTGAGAAAGACCCTTGAAGATTGAATTAGGAAGCTTGGAGGTAAGAATTTGGCATCCTAAATCACATCTACTTGTTTATATAGTTTTTCACTTTTGCTATGGCAAAGACGCCATCTTCAAAAGATTGGATTTTATAGAGTGAATTACGGATTTGGTCCTTGTAGTATGTGGTTGAAGGTTCATGGCTTGAATCGTCGACTGGAACCACTCCCCTCATATTTGTTCCATTCATTCATATCCATTTTTTAATGAAATTGTATAAAGTTATTATGTTCTTGAATTTTCATTCTATTATGTTTAAGGGGGTGTTTGGTTGGGATTGTTTATTTAAAACAATTTATGTTTATTTGTAAAAGTGTTTATCAACTTATACGATGACAAACCAAAGTTTTATAAAAAATGTTTGAATTAGTTTATGACGGTTCCACACCGGATAATCTGATAAAATAGATGAGATACCCTTTTTTTTTTCTCATCCAAACACTAAAAACTCATTATTATCAATACCACACCAGAATAAGTTAATAAGTTAAAATGAAGTAACTTATTAAAAACTCTTTATTACCGGTGTCAAACTGGTATAAACATTTTCTTTTCTCCATTCAAACACTAAAAACTTCTTATTATCAATACCACATCAAAATAAGTTAATAATCACTTTAAATAAGCAATAACAAACACCTTGTTGGTGGTGGTGTTTGCGGGTTAAAAAGGAAATATAAATAACTAAAAAATGGAATAATTTCCACGTATTTCACATAGTTAACACGCCAATGTGTCCAAAATAAAATAGAGAAAATGACAAACGTATAACAGTTATGTTAAAATAAAGATTTTGGATGTTTGAAGTATATATTTTTACTCCAACAGTTATATTATAACATATGCTAAAACAAAGAAAAGAAAAAATAAGGTGCAAATTGAATAAATCTCTAAAATTCCATATTTAAAAGAGAGAAATCATATTTAATATTTCTAATCAATAAAAGACATTGAAATTAAGTGTTTAGGAAAAAATATAAATAATATTTTATTAAATGTATTGAACATTTTAATAATATAGTTAATGATAAAATTGCTAAAATAAAACAGCTGTTGGAGTTGGATATAATTATTTTGAAAAAGAAAAAAAAAACAGTACACAGATATTAGACTCTCGAATAAGGGTTTGCCTATTCTTTGTACATAAACCCTTGTCATGGTTTCACATAGTTTTATTTTTAGATATATTTTGACTTTTGATACTTAATTTAAAAAAAAAATTATAGCATAGCAATTGAAGATGCTATAAAAAGACCATTTTACCCTAAAGTTAACAGAGACCGGTGGATGGACATTTTTAAGAGGGACCAAATCCAACAGAAATTGCATAGATGGAGGCTTATCATGGACCAAATTCATACTTACTAGAAATATATATAAAAGCAGTTAAGAAATGTTAGAATGTTATCCAATCATGTTTTTCTTAAATAAATACGTTACTCAGGAGGCTTTCAATAATTTTTTTTGATAACAATTGATCGAGTAAGATATTTTAAGTCTCTTACCACATAAGTAAGCCTCTCCAGTCTTACCTGATTAAGAGCTCGGTCAACAACATTTGTTAGTCAATAACCACAAGGGTAGTGTCTGATTGGTTTATGCTTGAGCTCCAAAGGTTAAAAGTATCTCGAGGTCCCACCTCAAATTCAAGTAAGAATAAAAATCATCTTGTAGTCACAGATGTTCAAATGCGATGACTTCAGACTCCCCGCAAAGCAGGTGGTTGACCTGAGATTAGTCGGCTCGCATATCGGGTTGGATATTCAGGTTAGTACAAAAAAACATTTGTTACTCAGAAGGTGTGGATAAACAATTTTCTCTCTTACCAGATAACCAACATTTAACAGGTAAGACGTAGAAACACTTAACAAACAACTCTTTATAAAAACATTGTTGGACAAACTTGTAATCACAATCAGATACATTATATTTCCAAATCACTTCAAAAAATATACGTTTTTGTGTTCATGTTGAATAAGCTTCGTGTCAATATCGTAAACATTAATTTTAAGAAGAATTCTAAGAGTTACGTATGAAATAATGAATACTTACATCTTATACGTAACGTAACAATTTAATTAGGCTTTTTTAATCTTTTTATATTATTTCCACGATAAAAACATACACAACTACATATAAATTAACGACACTTAAATTGTCAATAATTATTGTATAATTTTTCTAATTATTTACATATTGAATTTAAAATAATAATATTGTATCATATAAAAAATATTTATTTTTTTATATTTTTAATTGATAATTAAATAATCCTTTGACATGGACACCCGACAATAACAACAACAATATTTCTTGCCATGTGACATCAAAAGAGATTTCTCGTATTCTGTAAATAAAAAAATATGAAAAAATGATAAAAATATTTTCAACATCTATATTATATTTTTTTATTTTTTAAATTTAATTTTTGTTTTCTCTATTTTAGAAGAATTTAGCATAGCTTCTAGATCAAACTTTTCTCAAATCTTTAATTTTTTTTGAAAAATATTATAGCTATTAGAAATGCTTTAAGTAATCCTCAAATAAATTAATAGCAAAAGAAGTGTCATTATATTCCTAAGAAATAAGAGGTTCAAACATGTGTATCATAAGTGAGGAGGGTGTGTGAGTTTATTTGTTACATTTGACGTATATAAGTATTATATATTTTAAAAAAAGGAGCAAATAAGAACACTTGAAATGAAACTTTTACAAGATAAGAATTTATATAAAATTAGAAAGTTTTCAAAGTCTCTGTGCGTTATCATCTTTAATTTATGTATGTTAAAAGGGAAATTTTATTACGACAAACAACAATTTTCTTTTATGTCTCACCTACTTCTATCTTGGTAAAAAAATATTACAGGAAAAGGAAAAAAACAGACATATGAGAATAAAAATGTTGTTAGACGAATATCTGCATTCTAAGTTGACGTAATAAACTAGAAATAAAATTCTAGTAACATCTCATCGACTAGAGAAGTAAAAACTTCATACTCCAACTCCAAACCGACCTCTTCATCATCATACTTCAACCACTTCAGTCCCTTCTTCTCCATATCTGTTATATATGTTATCTTGTAATTCTGAGACTCCAACCATTTTCTTGTATTCCCATTCATCCAATCTTTGGCTTCTTGCAGTATTGCCAAGTTTGAGACATTTCCTTGGTTAATTTGTTCGATAAAGAATCCTAACAAAATATTATCTGTGATCGTGGATTCAAAAAGATTATCAGAAGGCATCGTTGCTTTCAATAGTTGAAGCAATGCAACTGCTTTCTTTTCAATCTGATATTTTTCTTGATCGGACTCTAGTCCATTTTGCAAGGAGGATTGAAGTGGTGAATATGGTGTTTTGGACTCAGACAAAGCGATTCTGTCTTCTAATCGGGTAGGTTCTAGCTGAGCACGAATCCTACTTCTTCGAACCTTGGGCATGAGTTTTTGTTTCCTTCCTATTTGGGACAGTACTTTCAAAAGTCAGTATAGATCTAATAATACAGTTGTTGATCAAGAAAGATAAAATGAAAGAGATAGAGATCCCAACCTTTGACATATATGTGGCTATGTTGGAAAGGTGAAGTGACCTCATCTTCATCATCGCATGGAAAATCCATCATTGAAACTGGACTAAACTGCTCTTTCTCCTCATTCTGTAATTGTATTCGATAATTATCATCGTTAATAAATCATTATCCAAATTTATATATATATATATATATATATATATATATATATATATATAGACTTGGGATCATGTAAGACCAAATGTTTTTCTGCGAGACCCGTAAGACCAATTCTCAACTCTTGGATTAGATCTATAATCTGACAATCTAAATATTCATAAACGCCACGAGACTTCTCAATAATTACAAAATTGTCACCGTGCAACTTTAGACCATTAGATCATTAGCTTATAAAGTTGATCAATGAACATAAATTGGTCTTACGGGTCTCACGAAAAACCCTTAGTCTCACGTGAATCCAACCCTATATATATATATATATATATATATATATATATATAATACCTTTACATTTTTCAGTAGATAATACACGTTTAAAGTTATTTAAGTTACAAAACAACATTAAAGTCATATTCTACAAGTCCACATAGATTGACTCCATTATGTTAATTGTTGTCATGAGAGTCAAAGGAGATCAATATGATGGGGAAAAAGGTTTTAATATTTAAGAAAAAGACAAAAATGACCCTTCCCAAGCAAAGTAAATCCCAAGATTCGAATTTTGACTTATTGAAGTCAACCCAACTACATCACAACACAAATGACACCTGCCCTAAATTATTCTACTAGCTTCAGATATTTCATCTCTCCCATGCATTTATTCATTTCCCAAATCATCATATTTTATTATAAATAAATTATCATTTTTATAAAAGTACAACATGTTATACTGTCTGATTAGTTTAAGTTATGTACAAATAAAATTATCAATGGAGATTAATGTATCTGTATAGATTGAATTTTTTTTTTTATTTGAGATGGTTTTTTCATAAATGAAAACGTGTTATCTTAACTAGGAGGGTCAGGTGAAAAAAAACTTGTATATCTGTTTCCCGTAAAAGATTAATGAATAAGCCTCTTTTTATATCTTTAAGCCACTATCAAACAATAAATGTATAGTTGATGGAATAAGTTATACGTTTCATTAAACTTATTACTCTTCTAACAAACATGTCCTAAAGGAAGGCTTATTTAAAAATCTTAAATATTTTAGAAAAATTTATGAACCAATTTGTTCGGTATTCATAAATGAATAACATGATATAACATTTACTATCAATATCATAACATATATTTATGATGAAAAATATTCATTATAAATACTCACAAAATAAATAATTTTTAGAGTTATTAATCTCTTATAAAATTTCTAAATAAACCTGCAAAGGCAAAAATGTCGTATACAAAATATTACACCATTTTAGTTTTTACGTTGACATTTTTAATTCGCAAATATAATTCAGAATATGGTACTACGTGGAGCACGAGATCAAGGTGCTCCTGCAGCTTTTAACGGCATGGATTATGCAAAGGAATAACACGTAGGCGGGATCTACGGCAAATCACCAGTTTGAAGATCACGTGCACGAGATATACCAACACGTGGAGCTCATAATTAAAAAGAAATTATATATACCTCTCCCCACCTAATTTTCCATCTTCTTCGCTCTTAATATTTTATTTTCCCAAATAATAAAAAATAATAATTCAAAAATTTGAATAAAGGATTTTTTAACGTAAAATTTGACTAAAAATTAAACTAGAGTAAAAATGGTTAAAAAGTGAATGCAGATAAGCTATTTCTGTAAATTTCCTTAGGAATTGGGCCTCACCTTTGCGTTTCCATTGGCAGTAGACTCAACGGAGGCGGTTGCGGTGGCTCCGCCAACTTTTTTTCCGTTTGCCGTGTTTTTCTTCTCCGTTGCTTGCTGCTTACTTTCCTCCACGTCGTTTTGAGCTACATTGATCTTCGAAGAATCGCCAGTGGTAGAAGAATCAGATGTGGCGGTAAAGTAGCTATCCGATGAAGCTGAGCTGTCGCTGTTACTTGTGGTGGTGGTGGTGGTGACAGCGGTTGAAACTTTTGACGACGGAGGTAGGCTGTTCTCCTTCTCTTTGATCGATTCATCGAACGATTTCAACCTTTCGAAGTGTTTATTTTGATGATTGCTTGTTTTCTTCCAGAAGCCATGCTTCGATAGCTTCCGAGACAGATTCCTTGGTAGAAAACAAGTTTTCCTAGGCTTGCCGGAGCACTGGAAGTGCTTAAAAACATTAACCACAGCAGCAGAAGCTTTGTGCAGCACTGACACAGATTTCGATTTCGATCTCGACTTCGACTTCAATTTCGGTTTCTCTTTCGCTTTTGATTTGCTTTTAAGAAACTGCTTTTGCTTTGGCGGAAGCTTCATGTGTTTATTAAGATCGATTTCGATTAGATAACGGACGGTGGTGAAACATTGCCGGCGAGGATACGATCTGAAGCCATTGGAAGAACAGGAGCTCAGATCATCAAGTAGATAATCCTTGAGCAATAGAGATTTGGGCAATGGCATCTTAACTAAACTAGACTCATTAGAAAATGAAGCCCTTGCAGCCATTGAGATTCAAATTGAAGTACAGTTTGAATGAAAACCCAAATTGAATTAGGGTTTTTCCAATTCGAGGTTGAGCGAGTGTGTGAGTGAATGGGGAGATAGTGAGATATAGAAGTAGAATGAGGAATGTAAGAAAGAAGTAGGTAGGTTCTGATTGAAGATCTCAAGAATGGAGTTGCAGAAGCATCGGCAATGGAGAGAAGAGATTACAGAGAGATTGCTTGGATGCTGCTTCTTCAAACAGGGAGTGGGTTTCTTATTTGAATCTTAAGTTTACTTATTCTAATTATTATCAACAAATTTTGCACAATATGGTACATCAACTATTGGATAATGACTGTTTTGGTCCTTTAACTTTCTTGGCTTTTGTTACTTTCAATATGTAATAACTTAATCCACATTGTTTAAACTCTTGCTTCTTCATTGCACCTAGTAGAGACGTAAATTTTACCCATAGGGTTGGTATTCGTAGGCATCCGGCCGTAACGGGATGGGGATTCCCTGTTTTCACGAGTAATGGGCTAGGGACAAACCCAAGAGGTACATGTGGTGGCACGGGCCATTGTTTTGTTCCTCCGTCATAATGTAAAAAATTATATTATCGTAAAAAATGTCATTGAATCAGTTTTTATTGTTTGTCATCATATATATTTTGAAACTAAAATGAGGATAAGAATTTCCATTTGTATAGTTGGTTTACAAGACTTTTCTTTCTCCCCAGACCTGAACTTGAATCTTGTTAATGTCATTTTCTTAATTTTTAACTTTTAATTTCAGATTTACTATGTTTAAAAAAAAATTACAATAAAAAACTTGAACACATGACCTTACATATAAAAAATAATGAATTAACAAACAGACCAATGATTGTTTTGTGAAAATATCTCTATACTTGTTTTTTATAGTCAAATTTCGTCATCATTTAAAAAAAAAATTCTAAGTCCATCTCTGAACAACACGAAACGAGGATTTTATTTCAAATCCCAAGGAGGGTCGGGGATGACATTATCCGTCCAAAGAATGCATTACCTACCCAATACCCAATCTGTTTTCATTCTTAGAAAAGACTTTGGAGGATCAAATAAGAGGCAAAATCAATGGGAATTATATTTTTGTGTAAATGGAGTATTGAAACTTGAGGGACTGAAAGTGTACTTTAAGAAGAGTTTGAAGACTTATTATGATTTTTATGTAAATAATTTGAATTAATATAAACTAGTCGTATAGAGTCGAAATAAAGCCATCGCGTAGGATCTGGTTTGACTTCATGGTAGTACTACGAGACTACGAGTTGACCTTCTTTCTCAAATTTCAAATGAAACCTATTTAGAATTTACCTATTTATTTAGAGGATGGGTATCATTTCTAAACTCAATTATTAATAAATTACTAGAAGACTATTCGTGCAATGCAGTAAGATATATCTCAGTTTTAATGTTTTATTTTATTATTTGTCTCTATCGATGTTATAATACGATTTTATGTGTTTTTAAATGATTTTATTTTTGAATACAATATAAATTTGAAAATATCATAAAAATTTGAAAAAAAAAAATATCAATGTTAATATCAAATCAACTATTTAAAAGTTCTCATTTTTATGTAATTTCTTTAATTTATTTTTTTATTATAATTTAATTTAAGTTTAATAACGAAATAATTTATTTTTGGGGGTTAATAATATAAACATTTTAATAGATAATAATTAATTATTCTGTTAGAACTCAATGATTATCCTAATTATATTTTAAATTTTTTATATTTAAAATGATATGTTTATCTTGTATTTGATTATGTTTATTTACAGTTAGTTACACGAATTCAGATATGGAGCTTTAATAAGTTGTACTTACGCACAATCTACTTGCAATCTTGAGTTTTAAGTAATATGTATTAATAAACAGTACTTTACGCATAAAAAGTGGTTTTTAAGAGTTTTTGTCAAATGCTTTATAATATAGTATAGATATACACTTAATTTTATTCTTCATCTAATCTAATAAATATCTGATTCAATTAATATTTCGATATTTAATATAAAACTTTAATCATAATAAATGAACTCTTATTATTTCTATAAATATTTTAGAAATAAGAA